ATCCTATGATGCTGCCTGGCCTGCTGTGTTCATCCAGCCCTGCACCTTGTTGTCTCGAATTCTCCAGCATCTGCAGTTCCTACTATCTCTGATACAAAAATAAAACATTGTTTATGAGGCCAGATTTCACTCAGGGATCTAACTTCTCCACTATTATCGTCATTAAAGATCATAACACTGTTTCACTTGGAAGAGGTTTGGGAGCCTTGTCTTTTCATCTCCTAACTTCTTGATGTTCAAGTATTGTGGCATCTACTATTGCGCAGAAAAGTGCCATAGAAAAGGGATTTGTGCTAGGGTGACTGAGGACCATCAAAACCTGCTCCTTCTATGCAGTGAAGCATCTTAGGATGTTTCAGTACATGAAAGGCAACAGGTCCATACAAATTATCATTTCTATTCTTTTCTTAATTGAAGATTTATTTCCTCTTTGTAGACTCATGTGAAGCGTGGAGACCACATGAAAGGAGCAAGGATGCTCATTCGAGTTGCAAATAATATCAGCAAGTTTCCATCTCGTAAGTATCACGTGTAAATTCAAAAGAAACCTTCATGCCATGGCTTGGTGTTTTTCATAAAATCCAAATCTTTCATCATTACAAACTGTTACTATTATACTGAAGGTAGGCTAAATTGTATAAAATAATGTTCAGTTGCAGCTATAATATGGCATGTATCCTTAATTAAATGAAATATTATGGCTCTGATATGAATTTTAGGAAGTCTGTGACAAAGTACTGCATAAAATGCTGGTTAACAGAATTGAGGTTCACAGAATAGAAGGGTCGGTATTGGCTTGGAAATTGGTAATTGGCTTAGCGAAGAAAATGACAGAAGATTGGTTGTCAGTGGTGTTCGCCAAGGTACAATGCCAGAATCACTCTTGTTTATGTTTTGTTTTATTTACTTGTGAGACGTGAACATCACTGACTGGATCATGGTTAATTTAATTGTAAGCTCAACTATGCCTTCCATACCCCCGATAATCTTCCATCCTCTTGGTAGTCACGAATCTACCCACCTCTGCCTTAAAAAGACTTAAAGATTCTATACCCAATGCCTTTTAGAGGAAGGAAATTCTAAAGAGACTCCATTCTCGGAAAATTTCCTCATCTGTCTTAAATGGGCAACCTCCTATTTTTAAACTATGACACCTTGTTCTTGATTCTCCCATTAGAGGAAGCATCCTTTCCACATCCACAAGGTCCAGTCCCTTGGAATATATTGTCGTCCCTTGAAGATGGTGGTTAACTGTCTTCTTGAACTGCTGCAATCCGTGTGCTGTAGGTAGACTCTCAATGCCATTAGGGAAGGAATTCCAGGATTTTGACCCAAGTGACCGTAAAGGAACAGCGATATATTTATAAGTCAGGATGGTGTGTGGATTGGAGGGGAACTTGCAAGTGGTTCGGTTCCCATTTATCTGATGCCCTTGTCCTTCTAAATGGTGTAAGCAATTAATTGGATTTAGAAATTATAATAAAATTTGTTGGTGATTCCAGTTTTGGAGATGTGACTGACAGAATGATACAAATTGACTGTAACAGGTCATGGACAGGCTAACAGAATGATCAGGCAAGTGGAAAATGGAATTTAATACAGAAAGAGTGTGAGGTGATGTACTCTGGCAGAGACATGTGTAGAGACAATGTAGACTACATAGCACAGTTCTGAAAAGCACACAGGGACAAAGGTGCTTGGGGTTCATGTGGATAGATTTTTGAAGGTTTCGGGACATGTTGAGAGAATAGTTGACAAAGCATGTGGAATCTCAGGCCACGTAAGTAGAGATGTCGAGCACAAAAGCAGAATAAAGTTGAATGAAGCTTTGGTCAAAGCTATGATTAGGTCATTATTAGAATATTTTGCCCAGTTCTGGTACAACAGAAGGGTCCTTGAGAGGATCTAGTGGAGATTTATTGTGATGGTTTTACGTATGAGGGATTTTAGCTACAGGGATTTCGTAAAGGGAACAAAATCATGAAAGGTTTTGATAAGGTTGACACAGAAAACTGTTCCGTTAGCTCATGGTACAGGGACCAAGGGACAAAGATTTAAGATGTTGGACAAGAAATGCCACAACAATGTGAGAAAGAACATTTTTTACGCAGTGAATGATGATGACATGGAACCTAATGCTTATAATCATTTCAAAAGGAAATTGAAAGGCACTGGAGGGAATTACAGAGAAAGAATGGATCTGATTGGACTGCTGTGCCATTCAGTAAGATCATGGTTGATTTAATTGTAAGCTCAACTATGCCTTCCGTACCCCCGATAATCTTCCATCCTCCTGGTAGTCACGAATCTACCCACCTCTGCCTTAAAAAGACTTAAAGATTCTACACCCAATGCCTTTTAGAGGAAGGAAATTCTAAAGAGACTCCACTCTTGGAAAATTTCCTCATCTGTCTTAAATGGGCAACCTCCTATTTTTAAACTATGACACCTTGTTCTTGATTCTCCCATTAGAGGAAGCATCCTTTCCACATCCACAAGGTCCAGTCCCTTGAAATATATTGTCGTTCCTTCAGTGTTGCTGAGTCAAAATCCTGGAATTCCCTCCCTAATGGCATTGTGGGTATATCTACAGCACATGGACTGCAGCTGTTCAAGAAGGCAGCTCACTACCACCTTCTCAAGGGCAAATAGGAATGGGCAATAAATGCCAGCATAGCCAGTAACACCCATGTCCCGCAAGTAAATATAAAAAAACTTTGCTGAAACTGCTTCCAAGAATTAACATTCTTCCGTAAGTACAATGACCAATACTGCACACCATACTCCAGATGCAGTCTCACCAATGCCCCATATAATTGAAGTGTAACCTCCCTACTCTTGCATTTGTTTTCCCTCCCAATAAAACATAAAATTCCATTAGTTTTCCTGATTACTTGCTGAACCTACTTACCAATCTTCTGTAGTCCAGATTTCTCAGGAACTTCTCTCCATTAATATGTTTCACTTTTATTCTTCCTGCCAAAATGAACGCTTTTATACTTTCTCACATTAATCCATTAGTCAGATCTTTGCCCACCCACTTACCTATATTCATTTGTAAACTCCTCATACCCTCTTCACAGCTGACCTGTCTTTATGTCACGAGCAAATTTGCCTGCTGTGTGTTTGGTCCCTTCATCCATATCATTTATATACACTGTCGAATTGAGACCCCAACACTTATTCCAACACACGTAACATCTTGCCACCTGAAAAAGACCCATTTATTCCTACTCTCTGCTTCCTGTTACCCATCCAGTCTTTTTATCCATGCCTGTATGTCAAATCCAACACCGGAGCTCTTGTTTTCAACAATAACCTTTGTCACATCTTATAAAATGCATTCTGAAAATCTAAGTACAGTACATTTTCAATGAACTCCAACAAATTAGTTAAAGATGATTTTCCTGTAACAAAAACCATGCTGGCTATGCCAACTTACCTTGAACTTATCAGTGCCCTGTTATAGGACCTTTTAAGAACAGCGTCTAACATTTTTCCTATGGCAGATGTTAAGCTAACTGGCCTGTAGTTTTCTGCATTCTGCATCCCTTCCTTTTTGAATAAAAAGAGGTACAATAGCTATTTTCTAATCTAAAGGGACTTCAATGTTGTGGCCATTTCGGAGACATGGATAGAGCAGGGACAGGAATGGTTGTTGCAGGTTCCGGGGTTTAGATGTTTCAGTAAGATCAGGGAAGGTGGTAAAAGAGGGGGAGGTGTGGCATTGTTAGTCAAGGACAGTATTACGGTGGCAGAAAGGACGTTTGATGACAAACGTGTCTACTGAGGTAGTATGGGCTGAGGTTAGAACCAGGAAAGGAGAGGTCACCCTGTTGGGAGTTTTCTATAGGCCTCCGAAAAGTTCCAGAGATGTAGAGGAAAAGATTGCAAAGATGATTCTGGATAGGAGCGAAAGTAACAGGGTAGTTGTTATGGGGGATTTTAACTTTCCAAATATTGACTGGAAACGCTATAGTTCGAGTACTTCAGATGGGTCAGTTTTTGTCCAATTTGTGCAGGAGGGTTTCCTGACACAGTATGTAGATAGGCCAACAAGAGGCGAGGCCACATTGGATTTGGTACTGGGTAATGAACCAGGCCAGGTGTTAGATTTGGAGGTAGGAGAGCACTTTGGTGATAGTGACCACAATTCAGTTACGTTTACTTTAGCGATGGAAAGGGATCGGTATATAAAGCAGGGCAAGAGTTATAGCTGGGGGAAAGGCAACTATGAGGCGATGAGGCAAGATTTAGGATGCATAGGATGGAGAAGGAAACTGCAGGGGCTGGGCACAATTGAAATGTGGAGCTTGTTCAAGGAACAGCTACTGCGTGTCCTTGAGAAGTATGTACCTGTCAGGCAGGGAGGAAGCGGTCGAGCGAGGGAACCGTGGTTTACTAAAGAAGTTGAATTTCTTGTCAAGAGGAAGAAGGAGGCTTATGTAGAGATGAGGCGTGAAGGCTCAGTGAGGGCGCTTGAGAGTTACAAGTTAGCCAGGAAGGACCTAAAGAGAGAGCTAAGAAGAGCCAGGAGGGGACATGAGAAGTCTTTAGCAGGTAGGATCAAGGAAAACCCTAAAGCTTTCTATAGGTATGTCAGGAATAAAAGAATGACCAGAGTAAGATTGGGACCGGTCAAGGACAGTAGTGGGAAGTTGTGCGTGGAGTCCGAAGAGATAGGAGAGGTGCTAAATGAATATTTTTCGTCAGTATTCACGCAGGAAAAAGACAATGTAGTTGAGGAGAATACTGAGATACAGTCTATTAGACTAGACGGGATTGAGGTTCATAAGGAGGAGGTGTTAGCAATTCTGGAAGGTGTGAAAATAGATAAGTCCCCTGGGCCGGATGGGATTTATCCTAGGATTCTCTGGGAAGCTAGAGAGGAGATTGCAGAGCCTTTGGCTTTGATCTTTATGTCGTCATTGTCTTCAGGAATAGTGCCAGAAGACTGGAGACGAGCAAATGTTGTCCCCTTGTTCAAGAAGGGGAGTAGAGACAACCCTGGTAATTATAGACCAGTGAGCTTTACTTCGGTTGTGGGTAAAGTGTTGGAAAGGATTATAAGAGATAGGATTTATAATCATCTAGAAAGGAATAATTTGATTAGGGATAGTCAACACGGTTTTGTGAAGGGTAGGTCGTGCCTCACAAACCTTATTGAGTTCTTCGAGAAGGTGACCAAACAGGTGGATGAGGGTAAAGCGGTTGATGTGGTGTATTTGGATTTCAGTAAAGCGTTTGATAAGGTTCCCCATGGTAGGCTATTGCAGAAAATACGGAGGCATGGGATTGAGGGTGATTTAGCGGTTTGGATCAGAAATTGGCTCGCTGTAAGAAGACAGAGGGTGGTGGTTGATGGGAAATGTTCATCCTGGAGTTCAGTTACTAGTGGTGTACCTCAAGGATCTGTTTTGGGGCCACTGCTGTTTGTCATTTTTATAAATGACCTGGATGAGGGCGTAGAAGGATGGGTTGGTAAATTTGCGGATGACACCAAAGTCGGTGGAGTTGTGGATAGTGCGGAAGGATGTTGTAGGTTACAGACGGACATAGATAAGCTGCAGAGCTGGGCTGAGAGGTGGCAAATGGAGTTTAATGCGGAAAAGTGTGAGGTGATTCACTTTGGAAGGAGTAACAGGAATACAGAGTACTGGGCTAATGGTAAGATTCTTGGTAGTGTGGATGAGCAGAAAGATCTCGGTGTCCATGTGCATAGATCACTGAAAGTTGCCACCCAGGTTGATAGCGTTGTTAAGAAGGCGTACAGTATGTTAGGTTTTATTGGTAGAGGGATTGAGTTTCGGAGCCATGAGGTCATGTTGCAGCTGTACAAAACTCTGGTGCGGCCGCACTTGGAGTATTCCGTACAGTTCTGGTCACCGCATTATAGGAAGGATGTGGAAGCATTGGAAAGGGTGCAGAGGAGATTTACCAGGATGTTGCCTGGTATGAAGGGAAGGTCTTATGAGGAAAGGCTGAGGGTTTTGAGGCTGTTTTCGTTAGAGAGAAGAAGGTTAAGAGGTGACTTGATAGAGACATACAAGATGATCAGAGGATTAGATAGGGTGGACAGTGGGAGCCTTTTTCCTCGGATGGTGATGGCTAGCACGAGGGGACATAGCTTTAAATTGAGGGGTGATAGATATAGGACAGATGTCAGAGGTAGGTTCTTTACTCAGAGAGTAGTAAGGGCGTGGAATGCCCTGCCTGCAAAAATAGTAGACTCGCCCACTTTAAGGGCATTTAAATGGTCATTGGATAAACATATGGATGATAATGGAATAGTTTAGGTTAGATGGGCTTCAGATTGGTTTCACAGGTTGGCGCAACATCGAGGGCCAAAGGGCCTGTACTGCGCTGTAATGTTCTATGTTCTATGTTCTATGTTCTATGTAAAGGAGCCTTCCTTGTATCAAATTAATTTTGGAAAACCTTTACAGACATCCATGGATTCAAAGGCTGAACAGCCTCTTTTGTGCCGTTAAGACTCTCGTAATGGTTAAGCACCTTATTTCAGTCATTTACACATTTCTTTGGTATTTTGGTGAAGTTAAAATCAAAGTTTGGGAGAACCAAGGACCAGTTGTTTTTCTAATAAAGTCAACATTTTCATCACAGTAAAATTTAACACTCTCTTAAAGAATGCAATAGAGGTTCACTCATATAGATCTGGATTAATATTCCACTATGTATTTTACTCTAAGTTTTGTGTGCTTATCCAGAGTAGGATGACCATGTGTGAAACATGTTTTATGCAGTTAGTGACTAGGCAGTTTATGCCTATTAGTTACATTAGCTAAGTGTAACTCAAAATTTCCAACATCAAACTGATTCCTTCAGAAAATCAATCTCTAAACCATAAATTTAAAACATTGTTTTTCTGTATCATTCTCAGCCCTTTTGTATACTATTAAAATATACACTTGGGCATTGGTTGAGATTCTACAGGACAGCTGCTTGGAGTCTGGACATATTCTAAAATGCCCATTAACATGAGAGAACAACCAATTTTTCATTCCTTCTGTAGGTTCCATGCAAGGATAATAAAGAAAAAAACTCGAAATTTCCAAAGTGCCTTTCATGACTTCCATACCTCCCAAAATACTTCTGAATTATAGCCACCATTAGAAATTTTCTAATCACCCTGGTTGGAGATGTTATTAGACAGCTCTGCAGATGGGACTTGAACCTCGGACTCATGGCTCAGAGATAGAGCCCCTATCACTGCACCACAAGAGCCCCTCAGTAGACACTGTTATACTGAAGGAAATGCAGCAGTCAATTTACACACAGCAAACTGCTTGCAGTGATAATGACCAGATAATCTGCTCTTGTGATGTTGACTGATGAATAACTAATGGCCCCGGCACCAACAGTAGTTGCCCTGCACCTCAGAGTAACACCGCGGCATTTTTTACATCCATCTCAGAGAGCAGATGAAGCCTCAATTTAATATAAATGTCTGAAAGGCACAACCTCCAATAGTGTAGCACTCTTGCAATGTTATACTGGAATATCTACTTGGATTTTTAGCTCAATCTGATAACCTCTGACGAGAGGTGACAGTGCTACCCTCAGCACCATAGCTATGAGGCAAAGAGCAGTTAATCATACCATGGTGTAACTAGTGTACATTATCATTCCATCCACGCACTTAGCCACAAACATCCTGGTAAAGGTGTTGAATAACACTTCTCAAAAGCACAGCTCAGATTGCAATGACACCATGAATCATCTAGTTTTAACATTTTGAATTCAAGGACAATTTACAGCTGAAAACTTTCAGATACATGAAGCTAGATTAAGATTAAAAGCATTAATAGCTTTGAGTTTTTGATCCCATCTGTTTATAGATTTTGATTCTGTTATAATAAATTTATGGAATTGGAAAACTCTTGCAGCACCATAAATCACAAAGCAGCTATAAAAGTTTCTGGAAAAGCTCAGCAGGTCTGGCAGCACCTGTGAAGAAAAAAGGATCTGAGGAAGGGTCACCGGACCTGAAATGTTAACTCTGATTTTTTTCTCCGCGGGTGCTGCCAGATCTGCTGAGCTTTTCCAGACACAGTTTTTGTTCCTGATTTACAGCATCTGCAGTTCTTTTGGTTTTTATAAAAGCATCTGTTTCATTTGCTCCTAAGGATGTTTATTTCTTATACTTGCATATTTTTTCAGACATTGTACCCATTCTAACATCAACAGTAATTGAATGTCACCGAGCAGGGTTGAGGAACTCCGCCTTTAGTTTTGCTGCTATGCTGATGAGACCAGAGTACAGAAACAATATTGATCCAAAGTACAAGAAGAAGATAGAAGCTATGGTTAGGTAAGCATTGGTGTCAAGTGTCACTTCAAAAATTTTCAGAAGTTCTCACATAACAATGATTTATCATGTTATGCTAAATAGTGGCCATTAGTATAAAGTACCTTATTTAAAATGTCAAATGAAAAACAGTCACACCTAGCTATCCGAAGACAAGCCACACTGAGTATTAGACTGAATAGACAAGTGCAATCCTACTAGGGTTGCCAACTATGATTAAATCTAATCCTGGAGATTTCATCGCATGAATTGTGGTATACTCCAGTCATACGTTAGTTGACAAACACGTCCATTCTTGTGACGTACTGCCTTCCTTCACCAGTTAGATAGCAAAAATATTCATTACCCAATTGGATAATGCTTTACTGTTAACCAGACAGCACACTTTCCCCAATTTTCAATATTTTTAATGTGGTAAAGAGAAATGTTTAATGATTATTACAAAAAAAAATTGACATTGCTCCCTTTCTCATTCATAGAACATAGAACAGTATAGCATAGGAACAGACACTTTGCCCCACCATGTCTGCACCGATGATGCCCTTCTAAACTAATCCATCTGCCTGCACATGGTCCGTATTTCTTTATTCCCTGTCTGTTCACGTGTCAGTCTAAAAGTCTCTTAAACATTGCTATTGTATCTGCTTCTACCACCTCCTCTGACAGTGTGTTCCAGGTACCTACCACCTGTGTAAAGAAAAAACTTGCCTCACATCTCTCCTTCAAACCTATGCCCCACAGTATTTGACACTTCCACCCTGAGAGAGACTCCAATGATCCACCCTATCCATGCCTCTCATAATTTTATATACTTTTATCAGGTCACCCTCTCAGCCTCCAATGCTCAATTGAAAACAATCCAAGTTTTGTCCAACTCCTCCTTTATAGCTAATGCACTCCAATCCAGGCCACATCCTAGTAAACCTTATTTGCATCCTATCCAAAGACTCAACATTCTTCCTACAGTGTGTCGACCAGAACTGCACACAATATTCCAAATGCAACCTGAGCAAATTCTTACACAGCTGCAAAATGACTTGCCAACTTTTGTACTGAATGCTCAGACCGATGAAGACAAGTATGCTGTATACCTTCTTCACTGTCTTATTTACTTGCATTGCCACTTTCAGGGAGCTATCGAATTGCACCTAAAGATCCCTCTGTACATCAATTCTTTTCAGGGTCCTCCTAATTACCGTATAGTTTCCATCTGCCATTTTTCAGCCAAACTTTCCAGCTAATATATGTGTCTTGTATCCTTTGACAATCTTCCTCACCACCCATAACTCCAAACAATTTTCATGTCATCTGCGAATCTGCTAAACAGACCACTGTCATTTTCAACCAAATCCTTTATGTAAATGACAAACAACAGAGGTCCCAGCACTGATTCTTGTGGAACGCCAAAGATCACAGACCTCCAGTTATATAGTCCCTAACCCTCCACAATTATCGTCTATCTTGTATGACTAAGGCAATTTTGTATCCAATTTACCAACAATTTGTGGATCCTATGTGACTTAATATTCCAGCTTACCATAAGACACCTTGTAAAATGCTTCAATAAAGTCGATTTACACTACGTCCACCGCCCTCATCATCGTCGCCACTTCCTCAAAACCTCAATCAAGTTTGTCAGACATCTGCACAAAGCCATGCTGACTGTCCCTACTAAGCCCATTTTTTCCCAAATGTGAGTAAATCCTGTCCCTAAGAATCTTCTGCAGTAATTTGCCTACCACTGATGTAAGGTTCACCAGCCTATAATTTCCTAGATTATTATGTTGCCTTTCTTAAACATTGGCAATTCTCCTTGGGTGGAACTGAGAAATAAGAAAGGGACGAACACCTTATTGGGATCGTACTATAGACCCCGCAATAGTCAGCGGGAAAGTGAGAAACAAATTTGTAAGGAGGTCTCTGTTATCTGTGAGAATAATAGAGTGGTTATGGTAGGGGATTTTAATTTTCCAAACATAGACTGGGACTGCCATAGTGTTAAGGATGGAGAGGAATTTGTTGTGTGCACAAGAAAATTTTCTGATCCAGTAATGTGGATGTACCTACGACAGAAGATGCAAAACTTGACCTCCCCTTGGGAAATAAGGCAGGGCAGGTGACTGAAGTGTTTGAGAGGGAGCACTCTGGGGCCGTGACCATAATTCTATTAGTTTTAAAATAGTAATGGAAAAGGATAGACTGGATCTAAAAGTTAAAGTTCTAAATTGGAAGAAAGCCAATTTTGACAGTATTAGGCAAGGATGTTCTCAGGTAAAGGGACAGCTGCAAAATGGGAAGCCTTCAAAAATGAGACAACGTGAGTCCAGAGACAGTATGTTCCTGTTAGGGTGAAGCGCAATGCTGGTAGATGTAGAGAATGCTGGATGGAAAGAAAAATTGAGGTTTTGGTCAAGGAAAAAAAAGGAAGCAAATGTCAAGTATAGACAGCAGGAATCAAGTGAATACCTAGAAGAGTATAAAGGCAGTAGGAGTATACTTAAGAGGGAAATCAGGAGGTCAAAACGAGAATATGAAATAGCTTTGGCAAATAGGGTTAAGGAGAATCCAAAGGGGTTCTACAAATATATTAAGGGCAAAAGGGTAACTAGGGAGTGAATGGGGCCCCTTAAGGATCAGCAAGGCCACCTATGTGTGGAACCACAGGAGATGGGGGAGATACTAAATGAGTATTTTGCATCAATGTTTACTGTGGAGAAGGATATGGAAGGAATATAAAGTGGGGAAATAAATAGCGACATCTTGAAAAATGTCCATAATACAGAGGAGGAGGTGCTGAATGTCTTAAAATGCATAAAGGTGGATAAATCCCTGGGACCTGATTAGGTGAACCGTAGAACACTGGGAAGCGAGGGAAGAGATTGCTGGGCCCCTTGCTGAGATATTTGTGTCATTGATAGCCACAGGTGAAGTGCTGGAAGACTGGAGGTTGGCTAACATTGTGCCACTATTTAATAAAGGTGGTAAGGAAAAGCCGGAGAACTATAGACCCGTGAGCCTGACATCGGTGGTGTGCAAGTTGTTGGAGGGAATCCTGAGGGACAGGATTTTTATGTATTTGGTAACGCAAGGACTAATTAGAGATAGTCAACATGGGAAATCGTGTCTCACGAACTTGATTGAGTTTTTTGATGAAGTAACAGAGGATTGATGAGAGCAGAGTAGTGGATGTGATCTGTATGGACTTGAATAAGGCGTTCAACAAGGTTCCTCATAGTAGACTGGTTAGGAAGGGTAGATCACATGGAATGCAGGGAGAACTAGTTATTTGGATACAGAACCAGCTCAAAGCTAGAAGACAGAGGGTGGTGGTGGAGGATTGCTTTTCAGACTGGAGGCCTTTGACCAGCGGTGTGCCACAAGGATCGGTGCTGGATCCACTGCTTTTTAGAACATAGAACAGTACAGCACAGTACAGGCCCTTCGGCCCACGATGTTGTGCTGAACTTTTACCCTAATCCTAAGGTCTATCTAACCTCCACCCCTACCTAGTATATCATCCATAGGCCTATCTAATAGCCGCTTAAATGCCCCTAATGAGGCTGACTCCACTACCCTCTCCGGCAATGCATTCCACGCCCCTACCACTCTCGGAGTAAAGAACCTACCTCTGACATTTCCCCTGTATCTACCTCCACTCACTTTAAAACAAATACCCCTCGTAATAGGTACCTCCACCCTAGGAAAAAGTCTCTAGCTGTCTATCTATACCTCTGATTATTTTGTACACCTCTATCAAGACACTTCTCATCCTTTGTCGTTCTAAAGAGAAAAGCCCTAGCTCTCTCAACCTTCCCTCCATTCCAGGCAACATCCTGGTAAATCTCCTCTGCACCTTTTCCAACGCCTCCACATCTTTCGTAATGAGGCGACCAGAACTGGACACAATACTCCAGATGTGGCCGAACTAGGCTTTTGTATAGCTGGAGCATAACTTCACGGCTCTTGAACTCAATCCCTCTATTAATGAAAGCTAACACACCATACGCCTTCTTAACAACTCTATCCACCTGGATGGCAGCTTTCAGGGAACTGTGAACATGAACCCCAAGATCCCTCTGCCCCTCCACACTGCCAAGAATCTTTCCGTTAACCCTGTATTCTGCTTTCAAGTTTGTCCTTCCAAAATGAATCACCTCACACTTTTCAGGGTTAAACTCCATCTGCCACTTCTCAGCCCAGCTCTGCACCCTATCAGTGTTCCTTTGTAACCTCGAACAACCCTGTGCACTATCCACAACTTGACCCACCTTCGTATGGTCCGCGAACTTTCTAATCCACCCTTCCACTCCTTCATCCAAATCATTTACAAAAATCACAAATAGAAGAGGACCCAGGACAGATCCTTGTGGAACACCACTCGTAACTGAGCACCATGCTGAATATTTTCCGTCCTTTGTCTTCTAAGGGTCAGCCAATTCTGCATCCAATCTGCCATATTTGCCCCTATCCCATGCCTTCTTACCTTCTGCATGAGCCTACCATGGGGAATCTTATCAAACGCCTTACTTAAATCCATGTATACCACATCCACTGCTCTACCTTCATCCACGTCATTTTGTCATTTATATAAATGATTTGGAGTGTGAACATAGGAGGTATGGTTAGTAAATTTGCAGATGACACTGAAATTGCAGGTGTAGTGGACAGTGAAGAAGGTTACCTCCGCGGATAACAGGATATTGATCAGATGGGCCAATGGGCCGAGGAGTGGCTGATGGAGTTTAACTTAGATGAATGTGAGGTGCTGCATTTTGGAAAGGCAAATCAGGGCAGGACTTATACACTTAATGGTAAAGTCCCAGGGAATACTGCTGAACAAAGAGACCTTGGAGCACAGGTTCGTAGTTCCTTGAAAGTGGAGTTGCAGGTGGATAGGATAGTGAAGGCGGCATTTGGCATGCTTGCCTTTACTGGTCAATGCATTGAGTATAGGAATTGGGAGGTCATGTTGTGGCTGTACAGGACATTGGTTTGGCCACTTTTGGAGTATTGTGTGCAGTTCTGGTCACCCTCCTATAAGAAGGATGTTGTGAAACTAGAAAGGGTTCGGAAAAGATTTATGAGGATGTTGCCAAGGTTGGGGGGTTTGAGCTATGGGGAGAGGCTGAATAGGCTGGGGCTATTTTCCCTGGAGTGTTGGAGGCTGAGGGATGCCCTTATAGAGGTTTATAAAATCGTGATGGGCATGGATAGGATAAATAGGCAAGGTCTTTTCCCTGGGGGAGGGGAGTCCAAAACTAGAGGAGAAAGATATACAAGGGACCTAAAGGGACAACTTTTCACGTAGTGGGTGATGTGTGTATGGAATGAGCTGCCAGAAGAAGTGGTGGAGGCTGGTACGATTATAACATTTGAAAGGCATCTGGGTGGGTATATTAATAGGAAGGGCTTAAAGGAACATAGGCCAAATGCTGGCCAATGGGACTAGATTTATATACCATATCTGGTCGGCATGGACGGTTTGTTTCTGTGCTGTATATCTCTCCAACTATGACTTAATTTGTGGCTGAAGAGAATACAAAGATCTCTGTTCAGGCCCCTGCAATCTCCTCCCTTGCCTCCATCAGACTGTTGTGAGTTATCTACCTTAATGTTTTTCAAGACACTCAATACCACCTCCTCCTTAATATTGACATTCCCTAGAATATTAACATAGCCATCCCCAATCTTACCATCATCCATGTCCTTCTCCTTGGTAAATACCAATGCTAAGTACCTCTCTGCTTTCATGCAAAAATTCCCTCCTTTGTTCTTGAGTGGACCTACTCTTTCCCTAGTTACCCTCTTGCTACTAAAATACTAACATATTTAATGCCTTGGAATTCTCCTTAATCCTTCTTACCAAGGACACTTCATGACCCCTTCTAGCCCTCCTAATTCCTTGTTTAAGTTTTTTCCTGCTTCCTTTATAATCCTTAACGGCCTTGTCTGATATCAGTTTCCCAAACCTTACGTATGCTTCCTTTTGTTTTGCCTAAACTTTCGATTTCTCGTCATCCAGGGTTCCCAAATCTTGCCATCCTTATCTTTCATCCTCTCAGGAACATGCTGGTCCTGAACTCTGATCAAATGGCCTTTAAAAGACTCCTATATGTCAGATCAGATTTACCCTCATACAGCTGCCCCCAATCTAATTTCTCCAGTACTTGCCAAATACTGTTATAATTAGCTTTCCCCCAGTTTAGCACTCTCACTTGAGAATCAATCTTAGCTTTATCCATAACCATCTTAAAACTTATGGAATTAAGATCACTGTTCCCAAAAAGCTTCCCCACTGAAACTTTGATCACCTGGCCATTTATTTTCCAATGCAAGATCCAGAATGGCCCCTTCCCCAGTTGGACTATCTACATATTGTTGCAACAAACCCTTCTGGATGTACCTAACAAATTCTGCCCCATCTAAGTCCCTGGCAGTAAAGAATTCCCAGTCAATATTGAGGAAGTTAGAATCATTCATTACGACAATCCTGTTGTTTTTACATCTTTCACAATCTGCCTACATATCTATTTCCCACTGGCTACTGAGAAGCCTAGAGAACAACGCTATTATAGTGATTGCACCTTATTCCTGAGTTTTACTCATATGACCTCGCTGGATGAGCCAGCCAAGACGTCCTCCTGCTGCAGCTGTGACATTCTTTTTAATCAGTAATGCAACCCCCCCCTCCCCACCCCTTTTGCATCCATCTCTGTCATGCCTGAAACATCTAAACCCTGGAAAATTGAGCTGCCAGTCCCACCCTTCTCTCAACCAAGTTGCTGTAATGGATGCTACATTGCAGTTCAGTCTAATAATCCAGATACTAAGCTCATCTGCCTTACCTGTTATGTTCCTTGCATTAAAATAAACAAACTTCGGACAACCAGTTCTGCCATGTTCATTAACATGGTCCTGCCTGTCCTTCCTATTAGACTTAATTGACTTAACCTCTCTTCTCAATCATTTCACATGCTGACTTACAGCTCTGGCTCCATATAATTTAAAGTTCATTTCATGCTGTAGCCAGCCAGATAACAGTTCTGGAATTTCTGCTAGTCTAAAATCAGAAGCCTTTGCTCATAATGCAATCCCTCCATACTGGGGAACATCCTAGTGAACCTTTTCTAAACTGCCCCCAGTGAAATGAAATCTTTGCTTAAATAAGAAGATCAAATTGCTCACAATACTCCAGATCTAGTCTCACTTGTATAGTTTCAGTAAAACTTTCCTATTCTTGTACTCCAACCCCCTTGAAATAGGGGTCAATATTCCATTAGTTTTCCTGATTACCTGCTGCACTTATGTGCTAGCTTTCTGTGTTTCATGCACAGGTACTTCCAAGTCCCTTTGTGTTGCAGCTTTCTGCAGTTTTTCTCCATTTAAATAATAATGTTCTTTTGTTCTCCCTCCCAAAATGAACAACTTTGCATTTTCCTACATACTCTCTTCTTTGCCAGCATTTTGCCCACTTACTCAGCCCATCAGTTTCTCTAAACTGTTTGTATCCTTCTCGCAACCTGTTTTCTACCTATGTTTGTGTCGTCCATAAACTTGGCTACAGTACATTCACCTTCTTCCTCCAAGTCATTAATGTATATTCTAAACAGTTGCAGTCACAGATTAATCCCTGTGGAACCCCACTCGTGATGGGTCACCAACCTGATAAAGAAAACCTTATCCTCACTTGCTGTTTCCTGTTTGAGCAGCATAAAAGCTTAGTGGTGCAAAGATTATGGAGATATCCCAGCTTGGTGGTAATGGTAGAGTGGGGATATATCATGAGGTTACAGATTGTGTTTGAACACAATTCTGCTACTGTTGATGACCCACAGTGCCTCATGGATTTGAGTTGCAATGTTTATTTGGTAGTCTGACAGGTAGAGTGGTGAAGACAAGATCAAGTAGATTTTTCCTTCTTACTGGTTGTCATACCACCTGCCACAGATTAATTCAAAAGCTACAAGCTGAAACTGACAAGCAAACTGATCAGGGAACTACAAACTCTGAGCAAACAATAATTGTGCCACAGTGATTTACAAGGTTTGTATAATAGCTATTAAACATTTAAAATAACCCAGTCTGGCCTTTAATGTGGTCTGACCAAGTATTCTTATCTACACTTTAACAGCAGAATAATAATTTGTTCCCAGTTTTCATCCGGTGTGGTAAACCTATTCTAAATGTTTCCATACTGGTACTAATCCTAATGAAATAAACGATAATTTGCACTGATACTGTATCTTTCATGATTTCAAGAAATCTTAGTATGCGTCAAAACCAACAGAAATATTTTTAAAGTATACTTACCATTGTTGTAACTATCAATAGCTATTACGCAGGAATAGCTCAGAAATGGAAATGAGTTACTATCCAATGTATTTCATGATTTTGGTTGAAGGAGATACATTACTTAGAATCACAATGAATTCTCCTTCACTTCAAAAACTGTCAAGTGGACCTTTTATGCCCACCCGCTTGAGTAGTCACATTAGTGCTACCAAAGTTGAACTTGCACCAAAGTTTATAGTGAGGCTGCTTTTCTAGATTAGACTGTTGGCATGATTATTTATAGATCCAAGTAGAAATCTAGACCGGTGCTGAGGTATGAATGAAAAATCATGTACTGGTCAAGCGTAAAAGGATCTTCTCCCTGCCTCTTTGTACTGCAGTGCATAGCTGCCTACTTTTGGTCAATAACAAAGTGGCATGCACCTATTGTAAAGGCTGGACATATGTCACTTCCACAAATCATCTGCACGTTTCTGAATGTTTTAGACTTTTGCTTGCTTGTCTTGACTATTTGCCCATTGCAAATGTATGCCATCATAAAAGTTATTTAAATCTGGCAATAAATGAAGATGGAGCCAATTGTGCATTACATGTTTTGCTCCTCAAGACAATATTTTCTGTGATTAGCACTAAAGAACTCCAAATGTTTGTGAGCATATTAGGTAATATAAATTTGAGTGAGAAGCGGTTTTAAGTTGGGGTAAAGAGGCTTTATATGAGGGGGGTCAAAACAGAAGAGAGAAACTTATTTTGTTACAATATTATAAGTTTGCAATGAAAAATAAATTATTGATGATTTTGACCAGGCGTCCTGACCAATCAGAAGTGGAAGAGTTTACTTCACCTTGTCCATACTGTGCTTTTCAGTTGCCAGAATGTGAGCTGCTCTGTTCAGGTTGTAAGAACAATCTGCCTTACTGCATTGTTACTGTGAGTATCAAAAAAATGACTGCAGCACTTATGATAGAAGGCAAAATTCCTTTTCGAATGAAGAATGTATTGTTTTTCAGTAAGGTCTTTAGTGATTGTCAGTGGAACATTCAGGATTACATGGGAGTTAGGAGCAAGAGTAAGACACGCATCCCTTGAGCCTGCTCCACCGTTCAATCAAGTAATGACTTACCTGATTGTAAAACCAAATCCAAATTCCCATCTGACCTGATCACCTTTCAGCCCCTTGCTGAGCCAAGAGTCTATCTACCTTTGCCTTAAAAATACTGCCTTTTAAGGAAACGGATTTCAAAAGGCTCACGACCTTGAGCAAAAAAAAACTCATCTCTATGTAAAATGGGTGACCCCTTGAGTTCTAGATTTTTCCACAAGTACAAACATCCTGTCCACATCCACCCAGTCAAGTCCCCTCAGGATCATGTATGTTTCAATCAAATAACTTCTATTCTTCTAAACTCCAGCAGATACAAGTTGAGCCTGTCCAACCTTTTCTCATAAGACAACTTGCCCATTCCTGGCATCAGCCTAGTAAATGTTTAACTGCTTCCACTGCATTGACATGCTTTCTTAAATAAGGAGACTGTTTGTTTGTTTCTGTGCACAACTGAAGCATAACCTCCCTGCTTTTATATTCTGTTCTTCTCACAATAAATTAATAAACAATAAAACAGTGGCATAATGGTAATCCTATTGGATAAATAATCTAGAACTCCAGGCTAATGTGCTGTGGGCACAAGTTTGAATCCTACCATGGGCAAATGACAAAATCTGAATTCAGGAAATAAAAAGCTTGCTTAATGGACACAATGCAACTATTGTCGTAAAAATCCATCTGGTTCGCTAATGCCCTTTCAGGAATGTAATCTATCTTTAACTGGCTTATATCTGTATCTTAACTTCCCTCTGGGCGATTAGGGATGGGCAAAAAAATTTCTATTAGCTTTCCTAATTATTTACTGCACCAGCATATGAGCTTGTTGTAATTCACACGAGGACACTCCAATACTTCTGTATCTTGGAGCTGTGCATTCTCTCAGCATTTAGATAACTCATTTTTTTTATTGTTCCAGCCAAAATGGACAACCTAATAATTTCCTACATACTCCATTCGTTAGATATTTGCCCATTCAATTAATTATCCCATTGAAGGCTCCTTAAGTTCTCCTCAAAATTTATTTTCTCATCTATCTTTGTCATCAGCAGACTTAGCAACCATACGTTCTGCCCCTTATTCCAAGATCTATATGAATTATAAAAAAACTAAATAACCTGTAGTTTCTTGCTTGTGTCTCCCATATTGAAAAAAAGTTACATTTGGTATTTTCCAATCCAGTGCAACCTTCCCCAGTCAAGAGATAACAAGGTGCAGAGCTGGATGAACACAGCAGGCCAAGCGGCATCAGAGGAGCAGAAAAGCTGACGTTTCGGGTCTAGACCTTTCTTCAGAAATGCGGGAGGGGAAGGGGGTTCTGAAATAAATAGGGAGCGAGGGGGAGGTGGATAGAAGATGGATAAAGGAGAAGATAGGTGGAGAGGAGACAGACAGGTCAAAGAGGCGGGGTTGGAGCCAGTAAAGGTGAGTGTAGATGGGGAGTTAGGGAGGGGACAGGTCAAGGGGGTGGAATGAGGCTAGTAGGTAGGAGGTGGGGGTGGGGCTTGAGGTGGGAGGAGTGGACAGGTTGGAGGGGAAGGACAGGTTAGGGAGGACGAGCTGGGCTAGTTTTGGGATGCGGTAGGGGGAGGGGAGATTTTGAAGCTTGCGAAATCCACGTTGATACCATTGGGCTGCAGAGTTCCCAAGCTGAATATGAGATGCTGTTCCTGCATCGTTGTGGCACTGCAGGTGGCCCAGGATGGACGTGTCGTCCAATGAGTGGGAGGGGGAGTTGAAATGGTTCGCGACTGGGAGGTGCAGTTGTTTGTCGCGAACTGAGCGTAGGTGTTCTGCAAAGTGGTCCCCAAACCTCCGCTTGGTTTCCCCGATGTAGAGGAGGCCACATCGTGAACAGCGGATACAGTATACCACATTAGCAGATGTGCAGGTGAACATCTGTTTGATGTGGAAAGTCTTCTTGGGGCCTGGGATGGAGGTGAGGGGGGAGGTATAGGGGCAGGTGTAGCGCTTCCTGCGGTTACAGGGAAAAGTGCCAGGGATGGTGGGGAATGTGGAGCGGACAAGGGAGTCACGGAGAGAGTGATCCCTCTGGAAAGCAGTCGGTAGGTTTGAAATGGATATCGGTTTCCAGGTGGTTGCCCCCTTTGTCCAAGAACTCCCCACCCACGTTCTGCCAGTTCATTTTAGTTAGTTTTGCTTCCATGCCCTCATAATTTTCCCAATTTAAATTTAAATACTAATCTTGGACCGGCTCTTTACTCACTCAAACTGAACGTACAATGCAACTTTATTGTGGTTATATTATGATAGCTGCTACTGCTAAGTGCCTTCACAATGATGTTTATGAATCCTATCAGATTGCACAATACCATATCTGGCATTGCCTGCTGTCTGGTTATCTCCAGAATGTGCTCTAAGAAACTATTCCAAAAACATTCTATGATCTCACGTAGGCTATCTTTACCTATCTCATTATTCTAGTCTACTAAATTAAAATACCTGATAATTATCACTACTTTTCTGATGGGTGGTCAGTTAGCTGAACTGCTGGTTTATGAGACAGAGCAACACCAACAATGTGGGTTCAGTTCCTGTACCAGCTGAGGTCACCATGAAGCTCCCACCTTTGTGACCTCACCCTGGGCATGGTGACCCTCAGGTTAAACCACCACCAGTCACTTTCCTCTAATGAGAGAACAGTCCTATGGTCTTCTGGGGATTGTCAGAAAAGGAAAAGACCATTATTTCTTATATTCTGCCCTAGCCCTATCATGTAGTTAGTTACGGGGCCTGTACATGACTCCCAGAAGTGACATCTTGCCTTTATCATTTTTTGTTTCTATTCAAAGCATCTGTATATCTCAGTGTTTGAACTTGAGTTATCCCTCCCTGTCTTGCTAATACTAATCATTTATCTTCCTATCTTCAGAAATTTGCTGTTGTTTTTGCAAGTTCAATATTGATTAGAAAGCAATTCTAGGGTAAGGCACCTTTGACTGCCTGTAGCTAGTTTGTATTTTTTCAGTACTCTTCAAACTACTGTTATTTATTCTGTAAATTCCTGTTTATTTTTAATCATTAGGTATCTCTTTTAAAATAAGTCATTCATCATTTTCCTTCATCTTTATCCATGCAGACATTTCCAGTTAACCTGCTCCCCATGTTTACTGACACCATTCTGACTGAGCCACACTAAAGAGCATCATCAGTGATTGCTCATCCCCCATCCCCCAATTTTCTCTCCAGTCTCCCAGAAGCTCCTTGTTGTCTCCCATAATGGAGCTGCTGAGTTTTTAAACTGAATTTTTATTTTATTCCTCTTTTGCTATGCATTGAATCAGTAAAGTTTAGCTCACTATTTGCAAACTGAAACAAAAACAAGGTGCTGGTGAAACGCAGCAGCTGTGGGGAGAATATTTGGCTCAAAATATTAACGCTGTCCACAGTTGCTGCCAGACCTGAGTTTCTCCAGCACTTTGCTCATATTTCAGATTACCAGCATCCAGACTTTTATGTTTGCAGACTCATGCCCATGAGGATTAAATTGGATGGTTAAAATCCAAGCCAACATGTAATTAAAGTGCACCAGTTAATGGTAATTTACACATCATTCCTAAGCCTCTTGTAATATGTACACTGGAATGTGCTTTTTTATTAAATTGAGGGAGAATTGTACAGACACTTCTAAAGTTGGCTGGGTTCTTGCATAGAACTGCCATTTTGTACCTCAGTCTAGAACTTCAAAATGTACACAGGCTTCAAAGCTGTGCAAGAATTTGCCCCCTTCTTTGTGGCTCCCAACACATTTTAAAATAAATTAATAACTGGGTATTTTTCTATGAAGCAATATTCAATGAAAGACAATTATATCATGAACTATTTCTTTTGAGAGTTAGCATTTTATTTTTATAATAAACTGAAATTTGAAGTCCATGTGTATATTATTATTCAATGTAAACAAAGTGCACATTGCAATTTGTTTCACCAGGGCCGCCACATGGTGAAGGATGACTGGACAGTTTGCCCCCATTGCGATTTCCCTGGTTTATACTCAGAGTTCAAAGTGTGAGTAGAAAGCATTGCAAAATAATCTTCTCTAATGTGTAAAGTCTGATAAGTGGTGTAGTACTTACCAGGAGGGTACTGTGACTTGTCTATTGGTGGGAAGGGCACATCTTAAAATTGGTTTTCAAGGAATCAGGTTTATATCAGTATTCCCACTGGGTTAAGTTAATTTTCAGAGGTGTCCCTTACTTTAACCTTAGCACAAAGAAGTGCATTTATAACAGTAAATTGTGCACTTTTTTTTTTTTTTTTTAATAGCTTACTAGCTACCGAGAAAGCTTGTCCTATGTGCTCAGAAAAACTGTGTGTGGAGCAGATGTCACTCGTTGAGCCAACACCATATCTACTACGAGATGAGGCAGAGTAATGAGAAATGCTGGACATCTAAGTACAAGGTATGTGGGTGAAAGGAGATTGATTGTATTTCATCATTGCTCATAAGAGCAGTACTACGATCACTATCTATTAAGTGGGGGGGTTTTATAGCATTGAGGCCCTTCTGAAATCATTAGTTTCTGCTTTCACCACTTTAATTTTTTGACTGTCATACAAATAGATGTTTTTTTTTAAAATATTCATTGATTGGATATCGAAGCGGCATTCATTATCCTTCCCTAGTTGCCTTCCTGAACCACCGTAAGAATAGATTTTCAAGTCTGGATGGTAGGTGGCTTAGAGGAGAAGCTGCAGGTGGCAGTACCTATGTATACATTGTTGGTAGTGGTCATGGTTCTGTAAAGTATTCTTCTAAGACACTCAGATCCTATTTGCCACACTTCCACGTGCAAAGAGCAGTAGTCCCAGCATGCATCAAAAGGAATACCACTGTTTGCCATCTTTTAGTCTAAAAACTAACATATCTTAAGGGCAATTAAATCAATAAGCTATATTTTTTGACACTGACCTCATGTCCCACAAGTATTCATTTTGTTAGCTTTGTGATACTCAGTTGAATGCTTTCTTAAAATCCACAAGAACAACAATCATTCCTTCAATTCCATTGGATTAGTTGAGCATGGTCTGGCTTGAACCTTGAATGTTTTTTCTAATTATTGTTTCCAAAATCTTACCAACTACAGATGTTCACTTAACTGGCCTAAAGTTGCTAAGACCATCCTTTTTATTCAAAAACTTGTACGAGTTTCACATTTGCTACTCCCCCATATCTAGGAAGATTCTGGTAAGCCATTTGAATATCTCAATCACCACTTCCTTCGCCGTAATTGGCTTGCAAGCCTTTTTAGTAGCTCCTTTCATGTTCTCAGTTTGCACGTTTAAATTGATGTGCCTCTGTCTAATCATTTATTTATTTATGAAAAGGGAAATAACGTTTGACAAACCTGATGCACTCCTTTCTGTTACTTGTAGTATAAAAAGGAGAACCAAATTGTCATGGTGTATTTGGATTTTCAGTAGGTCCTACGCAGGTTAGTAAACAAAAATTACAGCATATGGGGTAATAATAATCAATAGATAGAGCTTTGATTAAAAGACAAAATAGCACAGGAATAAATGGGTCATTCTCAGGATAAAAGATTCATACTAATGGAGTTGTGCATAAATCTGTGCTTGAACCACAGCTGTAAAAATCTGTATAAATTATTCTAATGTAGGGAACAAACATAATAAATTCCAAGTTTGCTGATGAGACAAACCTAGGTGGGGACGAGTTGTCAGGAGAATGTGGATAGTATAGTAAAGTGAATGGTTGAGCACAGGCAAGTAAGAGGTTATCCAATTCAGTGGGGGGGAAAAAAAGACAATGTTTCTTAAATGGTGAGTTTGGGACGTGTTGACGTCCAAAGACCATGTATCAGTGCTTATTAAGTATTCTAGCCTTGATCTGCACCACTGCTTTGATTTTAATAGGACCTATAGCCCTACTTACTTTGTATGCCAGTCTCATTTTCACCTACCTGGTTCTTACTGTAAGAATTCACTTCATGTACATCACCTTATCCTGTCAGTCTTTTGTTGCACTGTACCCTGACTGGATCCTTTCAAATCTAAACTTTATGATGAGCACAAACTTGCCCCAGTTGGCCCATCACAAATATGGGATAACAGCTTCCACTTTTACAGCTGATTTCCCTATAAATTTTCTCAACTTCCTTCTCAATATACAATGGTCAGAAAAGAGTGCTTCATTCTACCATTTTGAAGCATGTTTCCATTATTGCTGCTATATCATATTCCTGCAAGGCTAGTTTTATAGCTCACCAACCTTTCTCAACACTATTTACAAAGATGTATCACTCCCCTTCTGGTGAAAACATGTAGACATGGCTCAACTCAAATGTTCAGTTGCTACTTCAGAAGGTTGCTGTCACCTATGGTATTATACCCAAAAGGGTAGAAATTAGGATAAGTAAAGGCAAATTGATCACAAATAACCATACCTAAGAAATGTTACCTTCCAAGTAAAGTTTTCTTTGCTTTACATAGTAAGCTGCAGTTCCATTTTCCCTTCTGTAATCCAGCTTTAACTATGACCAAACCGTTAAACCACTTAAAGCAATAACTTGTTTGAAGTTAGAGAAAAGATTTAAATCAAGTTATTTATTCAATCTTTCTCCAGTACCTAGTTTACAATTAATCTATACTATATTAATACGAATAGTTTCAAAGCCATCTATGAAATAGCTGCCAAGCAAGAATTTGTATTATTTTTCATAAAATTAGGAAAGATGGAAACTGATTGTATCTCTGAAATTCTGTGGTATACAATTTTTGCAAGCTTCCTGGAAGCACCCGTTCATATAAGCAACGTGAAGCAACTTAGTACAGTTTTGTTCCTATATCCACTTGATGGTTTTCGGGCATCTTCAGCTGACTAGCTCACACCACATTCGAAACAAAGTCATTCAGCTCTATCACCCATTGCAAATTGTCATTGGCTAGAACACCTGTCTTCTGACCAGGTCAAAAACCATTTGCTCTGAAACAGTTATTAGCAATTCAAGTAGAATCATTAAATAGCAGGCATCAGATTTAGCCTATACTCATTAATTTATTTTGAACTAGATAAAGGGAAAGCATTCTTTGATACTAAATTTGCACATGTTGAAAGTACAGGTCACATTTTTGGTTCAACAGTATTTTGTTTCCTCTTTTAATGTCAAGATCAGATTTACTGAAGTTGTGAAAAGAAATCCTATTTTCAATAAGCTAAGTGTTAAATGCATACAGCCTACTTATAATTGACTGAATTGTGTTTGATTATCTTAAGTTTTCGTACTACAGCTAAGTAGAAATAAACAGCAGCAAGATTTGATGAGAGCCAGTGATCCTTTAATATTGTCAGTGCTGGAGAAACTCAGCAGGTCTGGCAGCGTCTGTGGAGACAGAAACAGAATTAAATATGAACATTCATTGAACTCTGTTAACTGTTTCTCTCTCCGCAGGTGCTGCCAGACCTGCTGCACTTCTTGGGCATTCTGTTTTTATTGAATGATTTGTCATTTATTTTACAGATTCAGCATCTGAAACCATTGTTGAAAGCCCCAGCAGGAGTTCTTCAGTGCACATCCATATTTGAAACATTTTCTTTTTAAACGTATTTATGTTTATAATGAATTAAAATTCATTGTGACTACTATTTAATAAACTCTTTTTAAAAAAAATTCTATGCTGATAGTAAAGCAGGTAATTGAGCATTCCAAAGTTAGCTTTCACAATCTCACTGGAGACGTGCTTTGAACACCTTTATGAACTCCACACCACTTTTTTTTAAAAAATTAACATTTTTCTAATCAAGCTGTTCAGAGATGCTATTACACACCTCTGGAGCAGCTGGGACTTGTGGCTCAAATTATACGGAGGGAGAAAAAAACTGTAATTCAGTAAATTTTGGAAACCTGTCTTTTTAAGGAATGTAACTAACAATTGAATCCTAGCTAATCAGGCCCATTTAAGAAATAGATTTAAAAATATAATGTTTTAAAGTTCTAAGATCTTCCAGACCATGGCCACAACTTGACAACATTCAGAGCAAAGGGTGAGAGATTAATGGGACGGCAAGAGCATAGTAGCAATGTGACTGCTCTAGCAATCCACCACCCATCACCATTTAAATCATAATATTTCCTATCTTCAACATTCATTTACAACTCTAGGATTAATAGAAACTTACTGAATTACTGGAATTGTTTTGGACTTTTTTCTGGCACAGCTGGGGAGCAGGAGCAGTAGCAGTGTGTAGAATTTTTTCCTTACCTAGTATGTGAACAAAAGCCCATTGTGCAGGAGTACCATTAGCTCTAGTAATGGGAAATGAAATATATTAAAGTCAGGGTGGGGATATCTCTCAATATTCACAACTACACCAATTGGGTATAAGACAGAGAAAGACATGATTGCATCTACACAGCTTGAGTCCTAGCTGATCCCAGTCTTGTCCTTTTGCCAATGAGTTTAAATTCTTAAGTTTTACATCATACCTTAGACTGCCTTCTCAGTTTTTTGGGATTTATTATTAATATTGGAAATCTCACTCAAATTCCTGGCTCCTAGGATGAACTCCGTAGTTTCAAGTAAAAATTCTGAACGCCCTGTAAACACGCTTTCTAAAATATATTGTTTTGTTAACATATCAAGTTATTCTAAAAGAAATCTTTCACTAGTGGTTATGTCATTATCTTTTTATAATTATTGTTGTCCATAGTTCAATTTACCGGGAATAAAACTAACCACTGGATCATCTTTCCCAGCAATGAGTTTCCTCATTCTGCCCAAAACAAAAATACAAAAAATTGTTAACAAAATTGCAAACCCCTAATACCAAAGGGAGAAGCTAAACTTTAATTTGGAAGAAATTGTTGCTTGGATACATTGGATCTACTTTAGCAAGCTGGGCCATTTATTGACATTCAAGCACAGAAACCTGGTTTTACGATTGCTTTTTTGAAGCTCTCAGAGTTTGGACCCCATGTACATGAAATGCTAAGTATCAACAACCTTTTCTGCAAGTATACAAATACTTAGGCCTGAAAGCAATAAAACAGGTTGCTGTCATGACAAGATTAAACAGTCTCCATCATTGCTTATTTATGTAACAACTTGACTCCTACCATCTCTGGTGAATGTTGCACAAAAGGAGCTTGCACCCGAGTCCTAGTAACAGCAGAAAATATAACTACAACAATCAAAACAGACTTTGCAGTCAAACGTCTTCAATCTCTGGTGACACCACAAGCTTTCATTAGAGCATTTAATGTAACAAAAAAAAAAAACACGTCCACACAGCAACTTGCTTTGACTTTCATTGGAAGGAGCAACAAAAATATTCCATGAAATTAACAGGCATTATATTATATCAATTGGGGCAAAACAAGAAGTGACTGAAAGAAAGTTAGGGTATTGAACTGGATTAGACACCAAGCTTGGACATAAAAACTGCTGGAATATTATTGGTAACTAGAGACTTTTACAAAATATGGCCTGCAGCCACGTGACTTAGACAATGATACTTCCTTGTTCATTCAAGGATGTGATAACTGAGCAACCTTGCATATATTTCCCCTAGTCACCCTACAAGCAGAAAGCCTTTTGTGAATGAGATTTAAAACAACCACAAAATTAAAATGAATTCTCGAGTTAACGGCTTCACTCTAATGGGAGTAATCTGACATCTTCAGTTTTCATCATCACAACACAGACTAACATACTCATCTCATAAAAATAAAGTGCAGAACAAAGAGCTTGAATTTTTGTTTCAGCGGGGCAGGGCAAAAGAGAGAGATAGATGCCAAGCTTGCAACATAATTTCAGCACATTGATATTGCTATGGATACTGAGGGGCAAACTCGTTGCAAGCAAGGCCATAGTAAGAACAGTGACCAATGTTTCACAGATGTCAAAGCTTCAGAGCCCAGTGCAGGGAATAGACCAGCTAATCCTCAAATCTTTTCTCAGCAGTTTCCAGTTATGTCTGCACAGGAAAGTAACACAGGAATCACCTTCCTGGTGCAGATGAGACTGCAAAAATTACTTTATTCAAAAAAGAAATTTGTGCCAAATTTTGTTAATGTACAGTTTCAAAAAAATACCTAAAGGGTAGTTTTTTCGCATTGCATATATACAGTGAATAATTCTCACACATCTCTACTTCAGTCAGTAAAGACAGTAAATATAAATTTATAGAAGCTGAAAGGAACTATACTCTGCCTTGAATTGTCATATTGAGCAGCAAACATTCAAATTGGTCTCTGCAATTCTGTTTCCTATCAGCAGAGCTACAATCAGATTTTGAAAAAAAATCAGCTGATCTCTGGACAATATCATTTGGTTGCCTTTCGTTTCCCCTTGTCTTTTCTTCCTTTCTGTGATATTTGTTCTTCCATTTTGTTTTTTGTTTTTGGTTTCTTTGGCTAAAAAGAAAAACAAATTGTGAACAATCTTAACCACGAAAGACATCACATTACAGAGGTGAAAACTGTCAACAATAAGACAGACTATTCAGCCACTCAAACCTAGTTCTTAGGGAAATTCTGCGTAAAATTTAAAAGGGAAACACTACCTTCAGTATTCAACCTGGCTTCTCCAGACAACACTGTTTCCCACAGACGCTTTCACCAAGTCTCAAACCCTTTTAATTCATTCATGGGATATGAGCATCGTTGGCCAGCCAGCATTTGTTGCCTGAGATGGTGGTTGTGAGCTGCCTTCTTGAACCGCTATAGTCCACATGCTGTAGGTTGACCACAGTACTCTTAGAGAGGTAATGCCGGATTTTGACCCGATGACACCGAAGGAATGGCAACATATTTCCAAGTCAGGATGAGAGTGACTTGGACATGAACTTGCAGGTATTGGTGTTCCCACCTATCATCTGTCCTTGTCCTTCTAGATGGAATGGTCGTAAGTTTGGAAGGTGCTTTCTCAGGATTTTCTGCAATATCTTGGAGATTATTCAAATTACTGCTACTGGGCGTCAGTAAGGTGAAGGGAATAGATGCTTTTGGATATCGTGTCAAATCTCAAGTGTTACTGGAGCTGTACCCATCCAGGTAACTGGGGAATATTCTATGACACTCCTGACATGTACATTGTAGATGGTGGACAGGCTCTGGAGAATTAGGAGGTGAGTTACTGGCTGCAGTACTCCTAGCCTCTGACCTGCCCTTGTAGTCACTATATTTATGTGGTGAGTTTCTGGTCAATGGTAACCCCAAGGATGTTAACAGTGGGGTGTTTGTGATGGTAACACCATTGAATGACAAGGGTGGTGGTTCGATTGTCTCTTATTGGAGATGGTCATTGCCTGGCATTTGTTTAGCACATTGAGTATAGATAGATAGGTTCTTGATTGTCAAGGGGATCAAAGGTTACGGGGAGAAAGCGGGAGAATGGGGTTGAGAAACTTATCAGCCATGATTGAATGGCAGAGCAGACTCGATGGGCTGAATAGCCTAATTTTTGGTCTTATGGAATGTTACTTGCCACTTGTCAAGCCCAAGCCTGGATGTTGTCCAGATCTTGTTGCATTTAAACATGGACTGCTTCAGTTTCTGAGGAGTTGCTGAACATGGTGCAGCATCACCGAGGGGACAAGGAGAAAGCCAAAGAGAAATTTTGTGAAGAAACAAGTTCGGGGTTTGAAATGCTTTGCCAAAGTAAGTGTTTGAAGCAGAGATCACTGCTTGTTTTAGGGAGGAGCAGATATAAACTTGGAGTAGGAAGGCATACCCATTTGAAGAAAGAGCAGAAAAATATACTTGGATCATTTTAGCAAAGAACTGACACATATAACAGGCTCCCAATCTATGGTGTAAACATCTGTGATCAAAAATGTTATCCTGGTCTCAACAAGATTACTTTTAAGTGAGTTTAGCTGCACATGGCCAGGCCTACTGGGACAAATCTTCACGCAAAACAAACATTTTTGATGGACTAGGTGCCCAATTATTCAGGTCTATTTCAATTAATGTACATTTGTCCCTTCATTTTCAACTAGGTACAATCCTCAACCCACAAGTCTAATCTATAAATGATCTGATCATCTTTTATTCATGGAAATATCCTGTGTCAGCTTTCACACAAGGTTTCTGGAGCTGGGTCAAGAGCTGAAGAACAAAGCCTTTCCTTTCCCTTAGACTTTTTCACACATTACCTTACTTACTCTTTACCTGGGATGACTTAATGTTTAACATTTGAGAAACAAAATGAAGTTGCTATGTAAAGTTCTTCTACCGATATTCTAGCTCAAATTGTTTTACGCAACAAAATGTCCTGAATGGTTTAAACTAAACATTAAGTAAAAGATGAGGTCATACCTTAATCATTCCGTCTAATTCCAAATTATCCTCAGTCTCTTCTGACTGTACATCCTCTGTCTGAAAGTCGTCATTAAGATCAGAGTCCAGTAATGATCCAGCTGCACTTCCACGTTTCAATTTCTTTACAGCTTGTAGTGCATAGGGAGTCAAGTGTGTCTCTCTGTTATAGGTCCGTGTAAATGCAGCTTTCACCTGACAGGGTGGGGGAACAGGGTAAAAGTTCAAAATGCTGACAATATCTAGATAAGATTACAGCGTACTGTGATCTGTCACAGCTGAAAAATTTAATAGGTTTGTAGGACTGAGGTCAGGAGGAACTTCTTCACCCGAAGGGTTGTGAATCTGTGGAATTCCCTGCCCAGTGAAGCGGTTGAAGCTACCTCACTGAATGTTTTTAAGGCAAGGCTAGATAAATTTTTGAACAGTCAAGGAATTAAGGGTTATGGTGAGTGGACGGGTGAGTGGACGGGTAAGTGGAGCTGAGTCTCAAAGATCAGCCATGATCTTATTAAATGGCGGGGCAGGCTCAAGGGGCCAGATGGCCTACTCCTGCTCCTAGTTCTTATGTTATTATGTTTGTGTCATGTGAATCTTGCTCAAGCTCAGAATAAGTATCGAGTTCAGTTCCCCTAGAAACAGCGTATCCAAAATGTGATTGGAGTTACCTTAGGATCTAGTTTTGAGAAAGGATCAGGTCGACCAGCCCAGCTGCTAACCTCCATGATACTATCCACATCCTCTTTCATCAGATAATACGCATTCATTGTTGCAACTGCCTCGTGAACACCATTTGTTCCCTGAAGTGACAGAGGCTGCACCAGAGCATCCCGCAGGTAAGGAAGATAATCCAAGTTTACAGCTTGCTTACTGGCATGTGTCCTTACATAAATTTTAAAGTAAGTATTAATAAGAGAGATTGGAGAAAGTTCAACTAATAGAGCACAAATTAAAAGGCGTCATCACCTAAATTTAGTTCCTTTATCAATAGGCATTGTGTTTCCCGGTTGGGTAATAGCAATAAATACAGATTACGCGTTATTCGGCAGGGTGTACATCAGACAAAAAAAAACATCAAGCACTGAGCTGACCAGCACTTCACTGTGTGACTCTGCTAAATGAAGTTGTACATTGGCCCATCTTAAATTTTTACACTTCCCACTCAAAGTACTGACTCAACACTGGTTGCACTGTAGTAGTGTTTGGTTGGTACATATCCCAAGTTCCCATTCTTAGTGTTTGAACCTAAACCTTGAACTCTGACAAGCTCTCTCTCCACCAAAAGATCATAAAACAATTAATTATGACCAGACATCCACAACCATCCATTTTCTAGCAGGTCTTAAAGTGATTAAGTGATAAGTGACTTACAGCTCTCAGGAGAAATGATCCTGTTTGATTCCTGACCCCACATCCTCTCCATCTTCCATAGCTAGAGGTACCAGGACCCATTACAATGCCACCACCTCAAGGTGCTCAGTTAACTTCTGGGGATTGAGCCCAGACCTGTACAGCTCAATATCATTCCTTTCAATAAGTTCTCAGAAATTCTTACAATGAGATCCCTATTTTAAATACAGCGCACCACATGTTGTGTATAAACTGCTACTCAGTTGAAATCTCATCTCCATACCTTAGGCACATGTGCCTGGTAAGTTCTTGCACAATGCGATCGTGTTTATTAGTGGATGAAAACTTTCCCAACCAGCTTGGGAAACTTGGAAACTGTGACATGTATCCCCTCATCAATTCACCAGGGATCACACTGGCATAAATGGCCTGGAAAGCAACAAGATAGTAAAATTACAGTTGGCTACAGCACTTAATTTAAACATTAATGACATTTTCACCACTGTCCTAAATTCATATCCAACATTCCACCAATTCTGTACTCCACTACTTCCACTTGTCATAACCAGGAGTTTGGAATGTTGTTACTGTTAGACTTTTCAATCTATTTTCTGGTCTCAGAACAGGAAGTACAACTCAGGCAAGGAAGGTTAAATTTCCTCAGTCACATTTTGCTCCATTTCAACTAAGAAGTAACATACTGAAACTAATGCTTTTGACAAATACAGATCTCAGATGAAGAAAGCTTCAAACTACTTCAAAGTTTCAGTAAAAAGTGTATTTAGAATTCATTGTGAACATTAGCACATGCATATTATACAATTCTTTAATACCTCATGATCAAATGTAGAAATGATCCTTCAACGGATTTCCCACCACTTCATCATTTTAATAGTTTGGTCCACCAGTTGTCTGCTTTAGGTTCTTTCATTTATTTGCAGAATAAGAATTTCTTCATAGATAGCAGGTCATTTAAAATGATTGGAGACACCTTCATGCTATGCACAGAAAACCCAACAGGGCAAGTGGCAGGGCAGTGGGATATTTGGCTGACTGCACTTTACCAAAGTTCATTACAAAAAAGTTGCAACTCTTAAATCAGTTTTCCTCTCTTTAAGGACGGGTGGTAGAAATGGTGAAAATTAATATGCAATTGTCCCCAGCCATAATTTGATAGATGGGAGGAGATAGCTTCCTGTCACAATTCATTACACATAATGGAGGCCGGCTCTTGAACTCCAGCACTAGCAAAGCTCCTCTTTTTGCACGGACACTGCAACCTTTCATCAGGTTGTGCACCCGCGGCTCTGGGATAATTGATAAGCATATCTGCATGTTAACGCAGGCAGACAGATGCACCAACTGGCCAATGTGTCATTCTAGGTCTGTCCACTCAGGTTTCACCAATGCAAACATTGGTTTCTAACAACATAACAGGTACAAAACCTTAGCAGCCTTGCTGAAAATAAACCATAAAAGGTGCAGGTGAGGAAGGTGCTACGTTTGACAGTGCTCAATATTGTCAATGTCAAAAAGAGAAGGTAAAAAAATAAGCAGAGTGAAATATAGAAAAAACGTGGTGAGTGCTCTTGATGCAGACCATCAAAAGGTGGGTATTATGAATATGCTTGTTGATGCACATCATAACAAATGGAAATTTGTTAAATTACAAGTAACGATAGTGGTTGATGCAAGCTACTCAAACTGAAGGAATTGTAAACAGCAGCGTACAGCTAGGGTCAACATTAGAATCACAACATATTGCAAGAAAGCAGGACAGGGGGATCAAGATCAAAAAAAGCAGACAGCAATAGTTAAGAATAAACTTTAGAAGAGTGGAAGAGAAAACAGACAAGGTCAGCTAGGAACATGAATGCAAACTAGCAATGTACATAGAAGATTAGCTAGGACAAATTTAGGCGCTTTGAGGAGACAGGAGAATTTATACTGGAGAACAGCAAAGTGGCAGAGAAACCAAGCAGTTACTTCACTGAAAGTATAGATGGTCTCACAGAAATACTAGGTGACTAAGGGACTTGTGAAACTGAGGAATCTGAAGAAAATACCATCAGTAAAGGGATAGGATTTGAAAAGTTAACTAAATAGAAGATGATAAATTCCCCAAAGCAGATAAGCTTTACTTTTCCTTTCTATCACTCAAGGGATGTGGACATCGCTGGCTGGGTCAGCTTCTCCCTAGTTGCCCTTCAGAAGGTGGCAGTGAGCTGTCGTCTTGAACCACTGCAGTCCATATGCTCTAGGTAGACCCACAATGCCGTTAGGGAAGGAACTCAAGAACGATGAAGGAAATGGTTAAAGAGATAGCGAATGGATTGGTGGTCAGGTTTTAAAATTCTACAGATTCTCAGAAGGCTCCTGGGGACTGGAAAGTATCAATGTAACCCTATTATTGAAGGAGAGAGGAAGAGGGAGAAAGGAGAACTACAGACCTGTTAGCTTGACATTTGCAATAGGAAAGACGTCAGCATCTACTATAAAGAATGTGATAACAACATTTAAAGAAATAGTAAAATTGGATAGAGTCAACATGAATTTATGAAAGGGAAATCATATCAAAGATTTTTTGAGGAAGCTGCCCATAACATAGATGAACGGGGAACCTGCTGATATAGTGGATTTGAATTTTCAGAAGACTTTTTATAAAGGTCCCACACAGGAAGTCAGGAAACAAAGTTAATGCATGGAACTGGGAGAAATATTATAGTTTGTATTGAAAATTGCTTAACAGGTAGAAAGCAAGAGTGTAGGAATAAATAGATCCTTCTCAGGACTGCCAACAGTAACTGGCGAAGGTGCAACACCTGCCCATTTATCTCCTCCCTCCCCAGTATCCAAGGGCTCAAACATACCTTCCAGATGAAGCAACACTTCACTTGCACTTCCCAGAATCTAGTCTACTGCATTCGCTGCTCACAATGTGGTCTCCTCTACATTGAGGAAATGAAGCGTAGACTGGGTGACCGCTTCACAGAACATCTACGTTCTGCTCGCAAAAATAGACCCTGAGCTACCTGTTGCCTGCCACTTCAACACACCACCCTGTTCCCTGGCCAGCATTTCCGTCTCTGGCTTGCTGCAGTGTTCCAGCGAAGCTCAACACAGCTGGAAGAACAACACCTCATTTTCCACTTGGGGACCCTGCAACCCTGCGGAATCAATATTGAGTTCAATAATTTTAAGGCCTAAGCTCACCCACGTCCTAGCGCCCTACCCCACACACCAGGCCTTATTATCACACAGCGTGCCATTACACACCACCCGCTGTTAGTCACCAACAGTCCCTATTAACAACTACTCATTCTCCCAGCCAGATCGTTATCAACTCCTTTATCTGTCCTACTGTTCTTCTACCTCTTTAGGCTCTATCCTATCATTTACTCCCTAACTCACCCCTTCCCTATTTTCTGCATATAAACTGACATTTTCCCAGTTACCATCAGTTCTGAGGAAGGGTCACCAGACCCGAAACATTAATTCTGAGTTTTTTCTTCAGAGATGCTGCCAGACCTGCTGAGCTTTTCCAGCAACTTCTGTTTTTGTTGCAAAATTTCAATATTTGGTGATATCAAACTGGGTGGGAATGCAAATTGTGAGGAGTCAAGGTGGCATCAATATGACTCGGACTAATTGAACGGGCTTGAACATGGCAGATGGAATATAATGTGAAATGAGTGTGAAGTTACTCAGTAACAGGTTGGGAAGTGCAAGTGTTTGGAGGAATATGGGTGTCCTTGTTCATGAGTCACTAAAAGAATTACCTTCAGTTCTGAAAACGTGTCACTGGACTCTGAAACGTTATCTCCAATTTCTCTCCACAGATGCTGCCAGTCCTGCTGAGTTTCTCCAGCAACTTCTGTTTTTTTGTTTCTGAAGCTGCTCAAAACCATGCAGGGCAAAGCAGCCTATTTGGTACCTGAACCACAACCGATATACAAAGGCAGCAGTGTGTACCATCTACAAGATGCACTGTAATTCATCAAGGCTCCTTGAACAGGACCTTCCAGAAGCCCATGACCTTTACCACTTAAACAGACAAGAGCATGCGATATATGGGGCCACCATCTGCAAGATCCTCTCTAAGCCTCACACCTTCTTGCTTTTCCTTCTCCTGCACTTGGTCAGAATTCTGGAATTCTTTTTAAAAGCACAGATGTACCAACATCACTTGGACTGTAGTAATACAGATGACAGTTCACCACCTCAAGAGCAATAAATTCCAGCCTCGTCAATGACACTCACGCAAACATGAAAAGACACCTTTTGCGATGTGTAACACCAGCACTTACCTGAGTAGGGAGCAGATTCCACATCTGCAGAGAACGAATTCTTTTATCAACAAGATCTCCATCACAGATACTTTCTGCTGTCTTACTCAAAAGCATGAGGTGCTTCTTCATGTTTGTTCTAAAACATAAGCACAGAACAATACTTCTAACGGCAGCAACTGAAAGTGGTTTCAGTGACTATATTTGCCATTAAATTGGCAAAAGATGAATAAAATGCTGGGGAAAGACACCTGGGAACATCCAGATGAACACTTCAGCAAAAGATTTAAAACAAATAATGAAAGCAATGAAACACAACAGGTATCTAAATTCCCGGACACAAAACTACATCTATTCGAAGCTGACGCTTAGTATTGTAGTTTTAAAGTTCATTCTGTGCAAATAGACAGCTATTTAAAAAAATTAAAATGGTGAATTCCTGTTATTCACCTCAAAACATGCCTCTGCCTAGTTCTCTAAGGTAACCACTGCAGTGTTGTGAAAAACTCCAGCTTGTGATTTTACAGTTTCAGATATTGTCCTTCAGTCCCTTCCTGCAGTGCATTCGGAGAAGGATAGCATCACTATAAAATAACTACACATTATGTAAATAGATTAGTGATGTATAAACTTTATACAGATCTGTCCAGGCTGAGCTATCTCCATCATGGTCACATGAAGGCAATGATTCAAAAACTTAGTAAAATCACATACACACCACTTAAATTTGCTATACCTAACAATTAAACTGAGTTTGGGCAGAGGTTCCTCTGATTCTATTTCCATTATGGGTCCTTACAGTATTCTATTGGTTTATTGGATCACCTTTCAACCTTCATCAGTAGTTAATTTCACCGGCAAATCACTCCAAATTAACAGATAATCTCAGCTAACTGTATTATCACACCCAGAATAACTTCATTCTGAAAACAGTCGAGGCCAAAGCATCGAATGTTTTCAACATGGAAATAGATACAGCTCTTAAGATTAAAGGCAAAGTTGCATGACAAAATTGGAAACAGGGCACTGAGTAAGATGATCAGTCAGGATCATATCAAATGGTGTAGCAGGCTTGAAAGGCCAAATGCCCTACTCTTGCTCCTATTTTCTATGTTTCATACTGTAGGATTTCTTTTTGTACTTAATTAATTTTGGACACACTAGTAATGGCCATGAGTTGAGAGAACACAAGCATTCCAGCCTGTATAGTGCTTCACCATTTCTCTTAAAAAAAATAGAACATTCAAAATAAAAACGTACGTACAAGATATTCTGTGAAATGTAAAACAACTGAACAAAGGGCGAGCAGGTTAATATTCGGCTACTTACCCAGCAGCTGCGGGCTTCACATGCAAATAGTTTTCTTGCACAAACAGTGGCGCTATTGAGTAATCATGGAAGAAAAGGTCGGACTTGTCGATCAGACTCATATGGGCAGTCTCCTCTCCAGCAGCAAATACTTTTCTCACGACATCAAATGGACCCTGAAAACAGGATATTGACATTTTTGAGTAAGAAATATCCATATGGATTTTTTTAGTATATGAAAGTAAAATAGTGCATTTATCTAATGGAATATCCAAAAGGTATTTTCTTTTTCAAGATTTGCTCAAAATATTAGGATTATCACAAATACTATTCACAATTGTACTAAACTAGACAAAAAGTAAAGTATGATTTTCCAATACATTTATTGTTCAGTTTATACCCTACTCCCCTTCGCAGTTTTTCCTGGGAACACCAGTACTTGATCCCAATGCTGAATGCACTAAATTGGGAGAAGGTAGCATAGCAGTCATGTCACTGGACGAGTAATCCAGAAGTCTGACTAATGATCTGGGGACACAGGTTCAAAATCCCACCATGACAGCTGGTGGAGTTTAAATTCAATTAATGAATTGAAAAGCAGTCTGGTAACCATTGCTGACTGTCATAAAGAACCTGATTTACTAATGTGTTGGAGGGAAAGAAAGCGGCCAATTTATCTGAGACAACAAGGTGCAGGGCTGGATGAACACAGCAGGCCAAGCAGCATCATAGGAGCAGAGAGGCTGACGTTT